TCGTGAAGTAAATACTATTCCACAACATTAACCCAGTACACATACCGAATGGTGATAGTAGAATTTAGAAAGCCCAGTTTTTCAGGACTTGCTCAGTGAGATTGTAGCATACGTGCTATCAAAGGCTTGAAGCCAAGTAAAGGAAACAACAGCTTGAGTAACATGGATATGTTGGCAGTGATTAAATGAAATAGCTGAACCAGAGACTTGTCTCTTAGACGAATTGTGATATTTGAGCTTTGCTATGACTAGCAAGTCTCATTGACGATTCCTCCGTAACTCCCATAGAATGCAGATGCTTTCAAATTTTTCAGCTTTCGCTCAAATGGATGTGAGTATTAAGTAAAATAGCATCTGAGAGAAAGCTAGGAGCAATAGCGTTTTTCTTGAGATCAAGATGCTATAATGCAACAGTAAAAAATTATTTAAGGTATGGAATCATGGATGCCTGCTTTTACTCAGCATATTTACTATGGCATTTTAAATATAGATCACTAAAAGAATAGACTAACTAAGATACGATAAAATATATATAAAACCGTTTCAGATTGCGTGTTAATCCAGCTAAAATGATAATTAAAATGGTTATATTATGGCTTTAGATAGACTCTCGAAAAATTTGAATGTAAACGAGTCGTTTTCTAATGTAATAATTCATGCCTAATCGAATCAGTTTTATCGTACTATCCATCAAGCCTAGTAAAAAATAGCACCAGTCTTCATGTTCAAAGTAAAATATTTCCATAAGTTGACTGGAACTTTATTGTTACTGAATAGCTTAAAATTTAGTATTCCGTAAAAAGTATCATTATTAATTAGTTGGCTCTTGATATAGTTACGCGGACGGGGAAACATGCCAAGGCTAGGCAAGCTTTATTGAGCATAAATATGATTAACATCGATCAAACTTTATTCAAAGTATGTATAAGATTCGTGAATCCCCATTTTATGCAATAATAATCATAGTTATATTTTTCGATAGCTGAAGGTTTCTATGAAGACTTTTATTTTATTTGGTTTTAGTTAACATTGTACTTGATCTGGATAACCAATACACTCATGAACTAGAAATCGCCTAGATTATGTATTTAGCTGGATCTGGTGACAAATTTCCTGGTCAGTTATTGGGGTAAAACTTTGTACTATGCAAGCTTAAGGATTAATTAATAAAAAATAGTTTGTAAGGGAATAGTTGGCTTATTCCATGTCCAGTTACGGTCGCATTTTTCAACAATTCCCCACTATTCTCCGTCAATTAATATAGGGCCACATCAAAACACACACTATATCCAGAAATCTATTTTTTCAACGGTTTTTGATCCTGGGTGCATAATAAAGTAACACATTTAGCATGTAAGATAGTCAAGTCTTTGCCCTTGTTTTCTATCAAGCTTAAAATATTTGTATTTTGCTAATAACTAAGGATTTATCTATTGCCTTTAGTGTACCCAAACCAATTTTCATTATCATGTTCTCCGTCGTATGTGGTAGTTCTACTCTCCTTAATGCGGTATAAATTAATTAAATAAGGTCTGAATATTTTAACGGTGCGAATCTATAAACATTTGTAAGGTTAGATATAGTTGAGATTGGGTCAAAGATAATGCGAGAATGTAAATCGGGATACTGAAAGAGTATGTTGCATATTGTGTTCCGTGGAAGAGATGCTACAATCATATACCGCATAGAGACCCAACGTGGAGCGTCGCATTGATTCAAAGTTTGGTTTAGGCGAACTCCTTTTGCTACTATGAGTCTAAATAGCCGCGTAGGGGTGGACTTTACGATACAGACTTTGTAGGAATTTAGCTAAGCTTATGTGTCCGATGATCGCATCCTTTCTTTTCACAAAGATCAATGCAAATTTCCTACAATTGTTATGTGAGTAACAAAGAAGTGACACACAGAAGCAGCCCACCAGCAGACATCCTCGTGTCAAAAGACTAGGCCAGTGGAGAACTCGCCCAGACTAGGAGATATTTCTATCAAATACTTTGCAGCACATGATGACCAGCCTTGTAACGGAGTCAGATGGTATACTTTGGAAGGAATTCGTTTTAACTTATGCATATACTAATGTAAAAGGGATATAAATTATTTGCCAAATATAAATAATGATTGCGAAATAGAGACCAAGAAATTCAGTCTGTATAGCATTGCAAAGCTAATGTTAGACTAGGCAAAATTTATTCGAAGCGAAATGAATCTAATAAAATTATTGAAGAGTGTTATAATTAAAATAAGGAATACTTCATGATGTATGAAATTAGGATAGCTGGTTAGGTGAATACTTAATGTGGAAAGGATTACTGTTGCATATTAATTAGGAAGCCTTACTTCGTATACAAAATATAAAATGAAATGGGAGGAACACATTATAAGATAGCCTAGGCACCCATCTCATAGAAGAAAGTGGATAAGCCTTTACTCTCATCAATTATCCCCCTCTGGAACCCTTTGTCAATGTTTCCTGTGTCTATCAAAACAATATTGTATATGTATTCCAAGAGCCTTCAGAGCAAGATGAAAAAGGCCTAAGACTGTAGAAGCAGCTGTGTAATAAAGTGAAGGAAGTTTAATGTATCAGTATTTGCAAAAAATGGAAAACATTTTGAGTATACGGTCAAGTTCTTTTTAAGCCATTATTATAATTGTGATAAAAAAGCATTAGAATAAAAAAAAAGTTTATATTGTGTTTGTACGTTTGCCTATATTTGAAGCTTCAGGCTTGATAATTTTCTAATTACGCTTCGTTCTAGTCATTATTTGCGTTACTAGCACCTATTCCGCTTAGCTCAATCCTTCTGTACATGCCTCGTGATTTAATAACTTTACAGCTTGGACAATGTGGAAACCAAAGTAACCTGCTATTCTATCTGCAATACTAATTCTTTAATAGTTGGGATGGAATTTTGGAAGCAATTGTGTGCTGAACATGGAATCAGCCCAGAAGGCACTCTTCAAGATTTCGCTGTTAATGGATCTGACCGCAAGGACGTATTTTTTTATCAGGCTGATGATGCACACTATATTCCCCGAGCAGTTTTACTAGATTTAGAGCCTCGCGTAATAAACACTATCCTTTCATCAGCATACGCTCGTTTATACAACCCGGAAAACGTGTATCTGTCTAAGCATGGAGGGGGTGCTGGAAATAATTGGGCTCATGGCTTCACTCAAGGTGAAAAACTTGAGGAGGAGGTCTTTGACATAATAGATCGCGAGGCAGAAGGAAGCGACAGCCTTGAGGTTTTCCCTTGTTCTTTATTGCATTTAATTTTGACTTTCCGAGCATAAATACCCCATCCTAACAACTTTTCACCTGTGTAAATTGCCACGAATGATTAGGATTGCTAGATTGCTAGATCTTAATGGATTTTGCCATACTTATTCTTTTATGTCCATAGATGTATTCGATTCCTTAAAGAATATCCTCATTAATCTCTTACGTCGTTTAAATATCTTTAACCTATTTATAGCGCTAAGCCTCTGCATATGAGGCTTGCTTAATTCACAATCTGATAACGATTTAACCGTGATCTATTCTCGTGAGGCCTTAGAGTATGCTCAAATGCTTAATTTTCTTTAAAAGTCTTTTTTTACT